GCCCCGTGCCCTCTGAATCACTATTCCACTGCTGCGACCCACTGTTGTCATTCATTCGGCCATTGTCATCGGCCCACTCGTTTGTGCATTCATTTATTCAATTGTGGCCACTTGTTAGGACAAAAGCCTTTTGGCTTCTGGGACATACTGTACACAATGAGCGGCAAATTTTCTCATTGCACTTAAAAAATTATCTTTGAACAGTGAGAAAATATTAAGGTTTTAATTTATAAATTATCTTAGCTAAGTTCACTTAATAATTTTTCTTGATAAATTGATAACATACGAGAAGGCTGGACATCCTTTCTTTATTTATCAAATTAATTTCGAAAAAGGTGGTATACTAAAGGTAATTTATGTATATATTATAATTATAATTATTATTTATTATTATAATTAATACATAAAGCTTAGAATTTTACGTATAACAGCTTTTGACATTTTGAAGCACACTTTTTTTTGAGTGTACTCCTCCCCCTTCGAACATTAACTTGTTTGTTTGCCTCTGATTGTCGTCATCGTCCTTATCATCGTCATCAGCCAGCCACGTTGTCTCCTGCTAGAAACAGGGGCTGTATCGAGGAGGGCGAGTGGAGCGTCTGATGACGGACTGGCGCTGTCAGGCGCATTGAAATTGAAATTGTTGCGAATAGAGGGGGAGGGGATGGGGCACGGGGCACGGAAAAGTCGAAGAAAACTCGCCTCGTGTCTTGTGCCGATGACACTCCGCCTTTTGTGCTCCAGATCCCAGATCCCCACTGAATGGAAATGTTTGTTATGATTCCTTCAACTTGTCGCCATGATTGCGCATAATTGGGTCACATGCTTGTCACAAAAATACGTAGCTCCTCCTCCCCCGATCGCATTCCCTCTTCTTCCACGTAATGTACAAGATTTTTCATTAAAATTGTCATATTTTCTTTTATTTCTGTTGGCCTCTGCGATGGCTTCCTTAAATTGCTTTCTTGTGCGGCAAACAAAAATACAAAAAGAAAGAAAGAACGTTGAAGAGCATATTTTGTTGTGTGGCTTTGTTGATGCTCTAACTACTTTTTTGATAAAAATCTTGGAAATATTTATAAATAATTATAAACGTATTTCATATTTTATAAATATTTGTTTTTAATTTAAATTTACTTGACTTGATTTTATATATTTAAAACTAATAAAAACTTTGATGCAAATTCCTCTTCCAGAAATTATTAAAGACCACCGTTCCATATAGCAAAATATTATTAAATAATAATTATTTATTTCACTAAGTTATCTTTTACAACCTATGATAATTTGGTATAAGATATTCCTTTACTTCATCTTGCAAGCATTCATAAAGTTTATAAAACTTGGTTTACAAGTTAGAGTATTTTCCCTCCAACATATTTCCTTCATCTTTCCGATATTCTCATTGCCATTTTATGCTTTTGATTGCGTACACAATTTTTTGCCGATTTTTATTATGCGCCTCGTCGTTTATTTTGCAGCGCATAATTTATGCCCGTGGTCCTTCCTCGCTCCCACTGCCGATATTACGCCGGTTATCTCCTTCGATGCCCCACCGTTGTCCGTTGGCGTCGCCATTTTTTTGCGCTTCCTGAGCCGGAATCTGTCCCCTTGGAGTCTCGATTTCGTTTCGGTTCCTTTCTGGCTACTGGGCCGAGGCCTCTGGTCCCTGGTCTCTGGTCTCTGGTCCGTTGTTCGCTGTCCCTTCTCCGTTGTCGCTGGCGGAAATGTATTTACACCAAAACGTCCGTAAAATGGCGGCCATAAAATAAAGTTTTAACGGATGTTTACGCAATGCGCATGAATTGTCCAATATTGACAAGAGAGACAGGAGGAGATGGCGAACGATTGGTTGTTGGTAGCCCAAAGGAAGGAACTCCGCGTCCGAGGGCACAGCTATTGAAATTTTAATGGCCCTGGCCAGTGGCTGTGACGTCTTCAATGGCCTTTTGGTTGGGGTGGAGACTTTTTAAAAGAAGCTGTGTATATTTTCAGAATATCGTCTACAACGAGAAGAAGCAATTGGGGATTAAAAGCCTGATTATTCCTTAACTATTTGGCATAAATTATAGAAAAACGTTTCTGTAATCAAAGATTTCCTATTTCAAGTACAATAAATATCCAGCAAGCCTGCTTTTGAACTCTGACAAGTGGCTTCTCGAATTACCCAGCAATCTGCACCCTTCTCCGCGCTTCTCATACTCGCAACCTTAAGGCAACACCGCAATTGCAATTTTCGACTGCAATCTTTGGTAATTTGACCCAACCCGCCCGCATCGGAACATTTGGAGGGTTAATCGGGGACATGTTGGAACTGACAACATAATTATCGACCCGCCAGGCAAGGGCAAATGGGGCACGCCCACATAGTTATGACATTGACAGGACCTGCTATCTGTCCAACCTATCTCTGCCCGCCCCGCCCTCGTTCCCCTCGAGAAACGTATGTATATATTTAAACGAGGGTTGGAAAGGCCAGAATCTGCGCTAGCTAATGCACCGAGATGTCGTTGCCAATTTATCCGGCGACCCTTGAGCGAAAAGAAACTTCACGCACAATAAATTTTTCATTCGTTGTCATTAAATCATTTCGTAAGGCCCCAAAAATATACAAAAAAGCCAGGCAAAAGAAAAAAAGGAAAATGAATCGAGGAAGCTGAAAGGAGCCAAGGATAATGACAAGAAACATGCTGCAAATGTCAGGGCAGACAGGAAAACGGAAACGTATTGGCGCAGTGAGTTCGCAATGGCTGCCAGACAGAAGGATACAAGTTGGGGAAATCTGTATAAAGTTCTGAGAGCGGAGTCTCTAGAACCGGAAAACTAAAAGTAAACCAACTAGAGAAAATGTTGATTTGTAAAGTGATCAGGAAAATAAAAAATTGCATGTTATAAAATGAAAAAAAAAAAAATTAAATATAAAATCTACCATGTAAATGGATTAATATACAACTTTTAGATTAACAATAATTTATTTATATACGATTTTTAATGATATAATATTATGCCTTAAATTAAATTGGACTAGATCAAAGTAGCAAATGCAAATAAATCATTGTAAATCGATTAAAATCAGTTCAAAGATACATTTATTGTTTTATCAATTATATAATTAAAAATCATATTTATTATTTAGAGTACCTTAAAATCGAATTCTTTCGACAGACTCAAATTTTCTTTTATTTTTCTGTTCTCAAAGAACTGCGGAAACGGATGCGGGTGCGGACAAGTTAAAAACGACTGCCAACAAAATAAATATATGCATGAATATACATATAGACGGTTTGAGAGATGCGACAAATATCCATGAAAATCATAAATTATGCAAAATATATTTGATTAAAATTCATTTACTGCCAAGACGCCAAAGAGCAAGTCGGAGAATGATAAATGCCCGACGAGAAAAAATCAAAGCAAATCACTTCCAGCCGCCGAAGAGCTGAAAATGTTTAATAATGGAAATCCCCAGAGCACGCCCAGAACTCAAATGCAGGACTCCGAGCACGTGTCCTTGCACACGCCACACTTCATAAATTCTACCCCGCCGGACGGTCGCCGAGCAGCATTTACAGTTACAGTTATGATGCCCGAAAGTCAACTGGGGAACGAGGCGTTCGGCGGATGTCCGCCCATCCGCCCGTCCGGAAGCTAAGCCTCGCAAAAAGAAAACCGCAGCAAAGTAAACACACGAAGGACGACGGAAGAACATTTCCCTTCAATGAATGAAAGCCCCTGGTAACACTCGAGCAAATAAAACAAACGCAGATTTACAGAAAAAGAATATTTTGCGAGCAGAAAGTACAAATAAAAAATAGGAATATCTTAAATTTAGTACATTATATTATATTAGTAAATTTAAAAAATATTAATTTATAATTGTTGGAATTGGTTGAGTGTCTTAAGTATTTTGATATAACTTGATGGCTGCAAAAATCATTTCATTTAAAAATAGAAATATTTTTCTCTGTGTAAAAACCACCCTCTATAGGTAAAGTGAGAAAACACATAGACACATTGTGGCCCAATGGCTGAGCAAGGAATCCTGCGCCGCAATCAAATCATCTGCCAAGTTTATGATTTATTTAACTTTTTTAATTGACTTTTTCCGAAAGCGTTAGCTCCTTTCCCCCCGAAAACCAGGACTCTGCGTGTGAAAGGATAATGGTGGTAGACTATACGCCGCCGCGCCGCGCCGCCGCCGCCGCCGTTTTTGCTTATTTGCGCGCCGCCGCCAAATTATGAAATAACGGCGGCCGCGGGCGCCGCTGGTGCGGCATCGGCGGCTTCAGCGCGGCCTTCAGTGTCATTGTTCTTTATAAAACTTAAAAAAAAAAATAACTATTAAATGGCCTTTTGTTATTTGACGCGCCGCCGCCGCCGGTTCTTTCTGACTACTACGCCGCCGCCGCCGAGTTTTTGCCTCTGCGCCGCCGATGCCTTTAACCATCGGCGTAAACCTCAAATGGTGGGTCTTCAAACAAGGAAACTTCACTTGCAGTTTGTATTGTTGTTGTTGTGGCGCGAAGGAAATGCGTCATATGAACGGAAATGGATGGGGCTGCGGATACGGATGCGGATACTGATGCGGAGGTGTGTGAGCCAAACGTGTGCCTGGTACTGGGCTTGTTGCAAATCCGGTTTAGTCTATTTATTTGAATGCCTATTTTTATGCTCATCCGGCTGACGTTTACTTTCCTTACAACCCATTAAAGGATATCAAATAAAAAGAAACGAAGCGAAATGGTTATGATTTATGTAATGGTAATTGCTTGCGGAACACTGGAAATGGCACGGGTGACCTTTTTAAGGATCTTGTTTTGTTGGAAAAAACTGAAATTACCTTTAGTAAGAAGGAAATTCAACTTGGGTAACATGAAATTTGTGTATTCTTGGAGATTTATATGAAGGTATTAGTAAATAGAGTTTATCTTTTATTTAGCTCTGAGTTTATTTTACTTATTTATGTTACTGTAACTATTGTATTCCTTGAACTAGCAAGGCCTTCAAAAAATGTCATAGTGTTTCGTCTTTACAAATCCAAATTTCACTTCCCATCACTCTTTCAAATCAGTCTGAGCTACCAAAACCAAATAATTTTCTATTGATTTTTGTATGGTGTGTGAAAAGGTGTGTCTCTTGAAAATCCAACTAAATTAAAAAACACCTTCCCGCAGATAATATTTTCACCATGAAGCCATTCTCGTTGACCACCTGCATTCGCCAAATTTGGATCATGTCCGGCTGGCTGCGCCAGGAGGCCGCAGTTGCTGCCTCTATGTTGGTGTTGCAGCGCCACCAGGTGGAGCTAAAGGATGAGGAGGCCGCGCTCAAGGATGAAAAGCGGGCTTCGGCCGATGGCGATGAGCTGGGCCAGGTGGGAGTTGACTCGCAGGGACAGCTGCGCCGCGTGCGCATTCTCGACGATTACATCATGCCCTTCGAGTGCGGCCTCTAGTTTTACATTATAAAAATTGTCTTAAGCTTGAGTTAATGATTACCGTTGTTCCCGCGGCTTTGAGTTGGATCGAAGTGGAGTCGACCACCGAAAATAGCCTATCCAAATTTTGGTCTGCACTGAAAAATATTTGAACCTTGGACTCAATTAAAAGGATATTAGAATCTTGATTCATATTTAATAGTCTAATCAAACGTTGGATGGATGGAAGGAAGGATATAGGAATCTATATTTGTTTTAGTTTAATCACTTGATTGTTTGGAAGACATAAAAAAATCTAAGAAATGTGAAAAATTAATAATTTGTGAAGTTAATATTAAAACATTTGTTATGCAACCCTCAACATGAATATATGTTACATTTTTGATTTTAAACGCAACTTAAGGAAAGTCAGTTGGGTTGAAAAGTCATTGAATTCATTTAGAAACATTCCTTAATTTATTCCCTTCATACAACCCCTTACTCCACAGCTTGACTTGCTCTGAACTCCCATCAGTCACCGTGAAACCGAACTAATTTGACAGCCAACTAGCGCCGGACCCAGCATTCATATGCCCAAAGTGGGTATCGCATTCCCCCAAGCTCACTTGTCAGTCTCCGTCGCAGTCTAACTTTCAATTTCTTCGGGTCGAAATAAAACCACACACACGCCCAGAAAAAAAGTATCCCACAAACAAGAGCCCTAAGGAGGCCTGGCAGAAATATAATTTATGAGCTAACCGAAAAAAGGAGCAGAACAGGGCATTTGATGTATACATTTTGAGCGTTGTGGAGACACAAAAATGATTTTGATGGACACTTAACAAAACGACACCAACTGGACCCAGACTTTGGGAAGGTTTCAGGTGGGGCCAGCAGTCCGGTGAAACCGAAGATCGGTTCTTCCTCGAGCTGCAAGAGGCTGGAAAAAAAACATAGCCAGAGCGAAAAACGACATATTTCATATTTTATTTATTATTTAGAAAGGGTATGCTGCATAAATCAAAAGCGAAATGAGTACGACATAACAACACCAAAAAGCTGAGGCCAGACCCAGATGGAGCAGGAGCTGGGAATGGGGATGGGGATGGGGATGCATCTCATGGCTGCGGGGGAGCGTGGCGGAGTGGCAGACGCAATCGCAGTCATCGATGTTGTCCAATGCAGCCAACCAAACAACCGAACTGCCAAACAACCGGCCAACCAGCATACGAAATAAAATCAAAATAAAAGCAAACTCAAACCGAAAATGAAACTGAAACGCGAAAAAGTTCCCACATGTTCACAATTTTGTACACATTACGTTTATGGGCTTTGGCCGAACCAAGGTGCAGGAGTTAAAAAAAAGGAATAAAAAAATACAAAACAAAAACAATCAACGAAAACCCACAGATTTGCAAGTAAGGCATAAAATATCATTCATTCAGCATTCAACATGCGAGTTCAGATGCTGGCCCAAGCGATTTTATCGCTTGAATATGCTGAGGGTAATATATGAATACTTTATTTTAATTAAAGCATATGGATTATTTCATTTTTGAGATTTAAAAATCGGCTTATTTACTTATTTTTTAAGATATTATAGAGGTTCTGTAAGATTTTTTAATTTTATAAAATTTCAAGACTAGATTAGATCAGGTAATTCTTATTTGTTCAGGCAAATCTTATTTGTTTTTAAATTTACTATTTGAAATATAATATTTTATATTTTTATTATTATTATACTAATCTTATATTTATAATAATTATAATTAAGGGTGTGTAAAAAGTACAAGAACAAGATTATAAAATATGAAGAAGGAACTATCTCTGGGGTTAAAAAAAACGTGTATTATTTTTGATTAAATCCACCAGCCGAGTCAATTTGGCCATGTTTGCTAGTCCGTATAAAACAACAGATATTAAAGACTATAAAAGCTATATAAATCTTTAAACTATTGGCATTTTAACTTTTAAATTGTATAATTTTATTCATCCCAGTCTTACCTTTTTTCTCCCAGTCCATCGGAGTGACATGAGAGGGTAACCAGAACAACAGTCAAATGTTGTGTGCTTGGTATTTTTGCGTCACGCGTTGTTCCACCTTGTCTTTTGTGGTTTTTGTTGCTGCTGTTTTTCGGGGGGGTGGTGACAAAGGGGGCGGGGTGAATCGATTCGCGGATTGCGCCTGCGCACACGCCTGAATACGAAATGCCGGACCTTTTCAGGGCCGAAGGAGTGCGGGGCCGTATCGTCGAAATGATCGCAATCTCAACACAAAATTTGTGTTTGGCGCAGACATTTTTTTACTGTGCCAAGGGACCCGCGAAGATAACCGAAAGATGATGAAGATGAAGCAGCAGCAAATCTGCAAAAAGCCCGGAGAATGTATGGCCCCCCCAACCGCCCGCGCCTGTCTGGGCTGGGTCTGTGGACACTTAAAGAAAATGTTGATTTATTGGATGTCATAAATGTAGCATAGACTTAAATATTTATACATTTTTTTTTCTTTACAAAATTATCAGGAGCGTCCTTGAAATCGCTAAAGATTTTAAATCAATTTATTATAAATGTTTAATTGTAAGCAATATACTTGTTTCTAGTAAGGTGAAAGCATACTTAAGAATATATTTTAAGTTCATTTTATAATCTAAAATCTAAAATTTAGATCAACAATTACTTCTGTTTATGAAAACTCTTAGGATTTTAGTCTAATTTTGAATTGCCTCTACAAAAATCTAATGAATATAATTATCTCATTCCATTTTTTAAGTGTAGACTTGGAGTTTTCAGGTCCTCGGCCAACGTCGTGTTGTCATAATGAATGGTGCAGCTTAAGTCATTTCATTTTGGAGCTGGACTCGAGGCTGCTGCGTTTTTTATAGTGCTGCTGGCGCCATGAAATATTAAATTACGAGCTGCTGTTTTCCTGCGCTCACTCCTCGTCCCTTTGCCCCTCCGCCTGTTCCTCATTAGGCGCAGAGACATTCCACATACGCCGTGTGGGCTTTGGCTTCGTTTGCGACTGAAATTAATAACTAAAACGTTGCAAGACCATAAAAAAGGACAGGCGAAATCGATCCAAGAATCGGCCAAATTGAAATTCCAACTTGCAGAATTAATAAGTTAATTTCTGCAAACGCCCCTCGATGCCCAATCCATCTGCTCGCATGGAAATGTTTTGCATAATTACACCCAAGGCTTCAGCTCCTTCCCGTTTATGTTGTTTCATTTATGGCTTTGGCTAATTTGCCAGGTATTCGGAGAGGCGATGTGCGGTTCAGATGGGATTTTATGATGCTGCCTGCCATTAAAAAGGTTAAAGTTGAGGCTCAGTCGCTTAATGACTATCCTGGGGCCACTTGCGGCTCATGGGACCTTGCCACTTGGGGCTCATGTTAATTTTTCGGACATTTATGGCAATGGGTTGACACATGTTGGCGAAGGTTAATGGGGTGAAGAGTTAATAGAACATCTTATAAGGATTTGTGGGGTAGATTATGTGGGGTTTTCTCACTTGGGTAGTTTCAATGAGCTGTGATTTGCTTGTTAATACAATTAGTTTTTAAAATTGAGAATCTAAATTTCAAATCATACTTAGTTTTTATTTGAGGAATTTCGATACAGAAATATTTATTAATTTCTCTTCTTTTCTAAACTCTCCAGGCTAGTAGTTAGTTTAGTAAACTTTTATTGGTTATCCATCATGGGTTCTTTCCAATTCATAAATCCCCCTTCCATAAGCTGCAATTTATTATGGGACTGAGAAAAGTACCGATTGCCTTTCGCCGCCTGCAATTGCAACAATTTTGACTGGAACTTTGACTTGCATGGCCAGTAAATTTGGCTGAAATCAAATAACGATAAAAAATCACACGAATATTAATTCGCGGAACGGCAAAGACCTTCAGGCGAAAGCCAAAGGCAGACCCCTAAACTGTTCCTGAAATTTATAGACGCGGTCTAGGCTAGGAGGCCCGCAATCGTTGAGCCCCAGTTTTAGTTCCAGTTCGAGCAAGATGCTCCTCGCCATTCCACAGCTGGTCGTGTGAGAATGTTTGGGGCACATGTGCCCCAGTCCTCATCCTTGTCCTGATCTCAAGCTCAACCCCGGGTTCAGCTGCAGAAAGGCCAGAATAGCTGGCAAAGATACATTTAAAAGAATCCGATTCAACTACTGGCCAAGTCCGAAGATCGGCTCTAATGCCAACGCCAAGCTGGAGTCTTTGTTTCTGCCCCCTCCGCTTTTATGCGATCCGCTTCCATGGAAGTGGAAGCTTAAGCCCGACGATGAAAATATTTATATATATATATAAGTATTTGAGCGCAGACTTATCGCCGAACAAGATCAATAAGCACGATATCAATAAGCTGTGGTGGCGTTGTTCCAGGCGGACTAACAACAGCAAGCACGCTGAACGCAGATCTGGGCAAGTGGGAGGGGAAGGTTAAGTATATGGCATTTAGATTTAAGTAGAAAATATATCGAAACACTTAAATTAATATTTTGTTTATTTTTCTGTAAACACTTTATCAAATTTATCAACGGCAAGTTTGGCTTCTTTTAATGATTTAAGAAGGTCTTCAGCTGTAGCTAGACATTTCTTTTGGCTTTGAGGGTGCATTTGGCTCAGCAAGTTCCCGTTTCTTGTCAAGAAAACTTCGAGTTTGCCATTCCAAAGGTGTTTTATCAAGTGACCCCACATCTCCACAAATAGTTCACCCAAGTCCCTTTTCCAGTCGACCGTTGCCGCCCGATGCAGCAGGACAGTTTTCATCATATAGCTTGAAAGTTCGGGTAATTGTTTTCTGTTTGCATCTCGCAATCCCTTCATGAGGCGCAGCACGTCCTTGAGTTTATGGTTATCCTTTATCAATGCATTCTCCCACATTGGGGCAGAGACTATAAACGACTTTCCGGTCTTATTTACACCCAATAGAGCGGTTGCCAGCCAGGGATATGCATTGCGGACTTTTTGGGGAACGGGTGGATCAGCGAACGGCCACTGGGATCCCGTGAATTCAAATGCCGGAACCAGGTCAATCGATAAAGCGCGATCCTTAGATACAGCCTTAATTGTGTGGGCACAGCCGTAGGTTCCCATTCGATAGCTTAATGTATATTTTTTACCGTTGCAGCTTAATATCAAATCTGAAGAGAAGACTTTTTTGAAGACACTGTGGAGCCAGTGCTGAAGATCTGCGCCTTCGATGTCAAACTTCAGTAACATGGGCTCGAATTCGGCACACAATGAGACAAATTCGGAATTGTTCGATTTGGGAGTGACCTTAAAGGGAAATTTTAGTTTCAAGTGCAAATCGAATTCGTCAGGAACATCCAGCTTCACTTGGTCCAAGTAACTGCCTGGAAAATAGGGATATTTACGAAGTGAGTAATTTCATTTAAATTAAATTTAATTATTTGTCAAAAAATATTTGGAAATATATTATTTTAAAGTCAAGTATTATATGAGTTTTCATTTTCAAAAATATAAATAATACTACTACTAAAAATGTCGAGGTACTAAACAAATTGGTGTATATAAATGAATCAACAAAAGGTTTTCCACAAACTTACCACAAAGGCTTAGGCCGACGAAAACTTCGGCAAAGGAAGGGTCCTTTTCCTTTAGTTCTTCAATCACATGATTTAAAAGGGCATCCGCGTCCTCTGTATATACTGTGTGATCCTTGCTGGATATTTCCAAGTTCATCAATTTTTGTTGTAAATTTTCGGTAAAGCTCATGATTGTTGTTCTTTTTCAATTAGTTCTGTACATATAATTTCAACTATTCACTTCAAGCTCCAGAAGTCGACTGAAATAGCCAGCTCTCTATCTCTCTATAACATAGTACCTTACGATTTGTTATCACTGCGATAACAAACTGAACGGAAATTGTGTTAAGACTATATATAATTGTTTTGGTTTGGTTTGGCAAATATGTTCAAGAAGTATATTTATATTTTGAACACATATCTTTTACAATTTACATTTTACAAGTGGTTAACCACTAATTCAAGGAAAGACCTCCTGCTTTTATGTTTTAATCTAATGATTCTTTTTTTGGGTACCAGGGTATCATGCAGTCGAGCACAATCGTTTTCAAATGTGTTTGTTTAATGAAAATAATCTGCCCTTTAGGATTAAGTTGAATTGATATCGCGAGCAAGTGTCTGATTATACAATCAATGAGAGGCAAAGGTATGATAAGCCTATACTAACTTAGTTTAATCAAATTGAATAAAGGAAAAATAGCTTTCTAATCAAAGAAATAAGCTTTTTAGCACACTATTCATTATCTCATTCTTCATATCAGTATCAGTAAGTATTACTAAAGTCACTTTAGAAAACCATCAAGCAAATAATGAATGAAATACCTTTATGTTTTGATTTGAACTTGGCGAAAACCTCTTCTGATCGCCAATATCTTGGTGTAGACTAATGGGCAAACAATTTCGTAGCAGAACAAACGTCCAAGAGTCTGACAAAATTTGTCTCGCCCGTCAATTTCATAAGCCAGATGCCATTTTTTTTATTCCTATTTTTGCTGAATTTATTTTTGTTGCTCAAGATATCCGCAGAGCGGAGGGAGGCGAGGAAATCCGACGGGAAAGACACCACTACAACCATTACCGCAGCGAGATGATGGCCTGGGATGGAACCGGGTTGGCTGGATATGCTTGGATTGGTTCGGTTTCTCAGGTATCTGTGTTTGTTTACCTTTGTGGCATTTGCATATTTTGAATGTTCGCGGAGCGACTCGTGGCACGTTTTACAGAAAACGGCGGGTAGAGAGACGAAAGACACTTTATCGATGATTGTGTGGGCGAGTCATGCGACGACCTTTCCATAGTTCTCCATGTCTTTTGTTGTCGCTCTGCGGCCGTTGTTGTCAAACAATTGTCACAACGTGTCGGCATTCACACGAACTTTATGTTTTATCCAACACCTCGTCGCAAATCTCTCAGGGGTTAAAGTTTGTCTAAAGTTTTCTGGCTTTCCGTGGATTTCGGGGGACTCAGATCCGGCGATTCAAGGGATCGAGAGGGGGCCAGCAATGACCGATCCGTGATCACTCAGTGATCCATTGCCCTACCGCATCGCACTCGTTCATCAATAACCGTCTGCGGCGGTGTTCCATCAAAAGTTGCCTGCGATCGCACAAAAACCAACACTCCGGCTGAAGGGTCCTTCAGTTCCCGGCTAATAACGAGCGGAACCTCAGCGGTTCCATTGTTCTGGCCCCTCTCGAAGGCCCTCCCAAATATGTATTCATTATATTTATGGCACAATTTTGCTTTCAAAACGGGGAAACAAAAAGGAACACTTGTGCCCTGGGCCCCGGCTGACAAGCGGAATATCTTTTTTCTCGCGATCGATCGATGGATTGGCCTGGGACGGCTCCTTCGCTGAATAGATCACTCGGCCGTAATGAATTATTGATGGACCTCGATTGGCAGAGGGTAGGGAAAATCACACATATAAAAAAACGTAGGGATGAAATGTAACCAGAGCTTTGACTTAATGTGGCAGCTCAACCAGATCGATGTGTCCACACACAACCGAATCGGTGGAGCTGCTCAAGTTTTGTGACTTTGTCAAGTCCTCCTCCCCATGCTCCTCCTGCTGATCATTTGTGATATATTGTTTCGGTAGCAGTTTGTTAAACGTGATCAATTTTTAATTACCCATCATCATCATCATCCATCCGAAGACAACCATCGATCGGTGATCGCTCGATTGTCGTATCAATCGCACCGCACAGAATGTAACTCGGACGTTTGTCGCATGTCATTCAACGATTTATGCCCCGAGAGTGGCTTTAATAAATGTGTCTTTGCCGCTTTTGGCCCAGCATCTCTCGGTTTCAGCTCCAGCTCTTCCCTTCGCTTTCCGCTCTGATTGAGGCGACTTTGTCACTGGTGATGTGGCGCCGTTGTCTGCTCCGTGGAACTCCCCTGGCTGCTCACTCCCCGCCTCGAGGTCCACATTTGGAGCGTGTGTGCGCAAAATGCTTAATTAGTTTTTGTCTAATTAACACTTGGGACATGGCGAAAGCGACTGGAGTCGTGTGCCACCAAAGGCGTGAAGATCAAAAGGTAAACAAGCGTCCGAGGATCGAGGAACTATAAAAAGGAAAGCTGAGCCTGGCGAACTACTTTGGGTTTTATGGGTGGTAATTATGGTACATTTATGTAGTAATTATTAATTATATTTACACTTTGTTAATTTAAGGTAATTGAAAAACAGATTTAATACAAATCAAACATGGATTTCATAAAAGAATAAATATATATTTAATAATATATAGGAAAGTATTTAAACTATTATTTTGAGCATCATAAGGGAATACTTAAGACAGCTTATTGATTTCATTTAATATTTAAAACATGTCTTAGTTATTTATTTAGGAACAGACAAAACACCAAATGATTCCAGCAGAATTCCAATCAAGCCACTCCTCCTCCATCTTGGCCAGACTCGGTCCAAGCTCTCACCTCGACTGGACGAACAACATAATTTCTGTAGCCGCACACGACCATTTTGCCACCAGGCTTCCACGGAGACCAAGGTTCGTAGGTTCCCGGGCTTCGAACTCGAGCCCTTAGGCTCCAGGCGCAGAAATTAAGGTGAACGCCCACAGCACGCGCCGGTGGAATAAGTGGGGATAGAAAGCCAGACACCGAGAAGGGAGAACGCAGACTGGAGCACCGAGAACACGAGCAGCCAAGCTGGCTGCCAAAACTCCAGTGGAAATATTTGCCACTTGAGTTTCGGTGGCTCCCCTTTTCAGCCCCCCTTTTGTCTGGTCACCACTTGAAGTTCTTGGCGCGCGCGTTTATTTATTTTGGAACGGGGCGCAGGGCAACAAATTAAAAAGTAATTCTCGGGCGCAGCATAATTAGCTGCTAAGTGACACTAATGGGGCCGCAGTTGCACTGCCCCAAGAATCCCTCTTTCCTCCCCGTCAGCCCCCCGAGCTGGCTGCACTTTTCCACTTTTTCTTCAACGGCTCGTGTGTGGGCAATGTGAGGTTCTCGAGTTGCTGAGTGAGTTTTCGTTGGTTTAGCTAATTGAGTTCTGTTTTTTGGGCCAGCAGTACACATGGCCACTTGGCTCCCTTGTGGCTGCCAAGTTTGGTTGGCCCCGTAATTGATGGGCCCGCTGAAAGCAAAGGTCTTTGCGGTGATGAAATCTGGAGAAGACGATAGATTATAGTATGGGCTGCCTCGCTGTAGATGTCAGGCTGGCTAGCAAAGCTGGCTTTCCACATTCCACATACAGATACACCCAAGAAAATAATAAACTTGAAATGGTGAGAAAGGGTTAACATAAATTCTAGAGCTATCCTTCTAACTATTCTTCCCATCCCAAGTTACGTCAGACGATGAGCTCCACCAGTGGATCAACTAGGGATTGGAAAGCAGGCTCGCTGGGCGAATCTCTGGGAGACCAAGACTGCATTGTCATTGGGGAAGTTCCCAAGAGACCAAAGAGGCCAACAGTGCTGTCCTCGGGAGAAGATACAGGGAGAAGTGTGAAATCAAAGTCCAGTAGGCGCTCCTCCGATATCCAAGACCAGGATGCCGTGGCCTGCTATACTACCAAGGTCAAAAAGAAGGCCTCTCAAACAAATTTCTTCCCAGAGGTCGAAGCACAAAGCCAACATTCAAGAGAAGGTTCGGCTTCCGAGGAATACGCACCCAACGATATGGAATACATCTCCAGCGAACAGGATGAGATGCAGACCCGGTCCCAGCCAAGTCAACGCTCCACTGATCACTCCAAGAGCTTTAGTCAGATATATAGCGAAATTTACGAGGAGTCCATAGAGCGCCAACAAAAGGCCGAACAGGCCTGTAGGGCCTACAACATAAATAGGTCCAAGCTGCGAGGGACACGCAAGAGATCCGATTCAAGGGGGCGGGAGAGTGGCACCTATAGCAGCCTGGAGTCCAGTTACTCTAGTGATTTGGGCAAGAGATCTGAGGAATTCGGCAGCCAATCAAATGTAGAAGAATTCAACTGCAAGGCAATCTCTGAAGGTCAGCTAACACAAACTGTTGGCTATCGAAAGATCACACCCATAAGAAGTTGCTTCAAGAGATTACCATCCAGCCAAACCGTGAATGATATGGACAGTTTTAGGGAGAGATCGGAACGTAGTAATAAGAAGCTACAACCAAAAAAGTATTATGACGAATACTCCACCAACACATATGGGCAAAGATCATCGTTGAGTTTGCGCGAATCTTCTGTTTGTATCCAGAGCTCCGTTTATTCAAAACCAAGAAAATACCAACGAGAGGGCTCCAATACTGAGGAGACTAATGACCATGATTACCTAACAGACTGCAAAAGTGTCTCCGGAATAGGAAATCCAACCTCTGTGACATCTTCGAGCCGAACTCAAAGAGATTATCATTCGCGCAGCAGCACACGCCATAGCCATCACCATTATCGTCGCCTGGAAAGTGTGCCCAAGACATATCAAGATCGTGGAAATAGTCCCATTAATATCAAGACAAGGCGACAAACGATCGAGTCTCGGAACGTTTATACCGACATGGACACCGAGGAAGAGAGGGATGTTTCCTTCCGCAAGTCGAATATCTCTGTTGGAGTGCAATATCCCAGTGACGATGAGGAGGGAGAAGAATATCGCAGCAATATGTCTGATATTTCTTACCCGAAATCCGGTGGGAGAAGCTACTGCAAAGAAAGTTCAGTGTTGAGCTTTACTCAACTGGTTCGAAATGTGTACGATGAGGATCGGGAGATGACAGACAGATCTGGAAGTAGGATAGTTAGTCGTGGTTTAGGAGTGACTAGTGATGAGGAAGGTCCAAGTCAACCAAGTGAATATACGTTTGACGATGGACACACTAATCCTTGCGAAGAATTCACTGATGTATGTAGTGAAGACCCAGAAATTCATCTGGAGGAGGAGCCATACGATAAACAGGATGTAGGTGATCGAAATGTAAGCCCCTCTGAACCAGATCAAGTCGATGGTGAAATTGTGGAGGAATTGTCAGAGGATCAGATTCTAAGCTCCGAAGAGGAGCCAGCCTTATCATCTACTCACCTGGCTTCCCATGAAATGAGCGACGTTGAGTCTAAACCAATCACGGATAATCTAAAGACCAAGTCAAAGAACGGCCTGGGTCTCAGGATATACAATGCGGACGAGGCTCTAATGGAGATTCCAGAGGGTTTCCAGGGAGATGCGATTATTCTGGACGATGATGCAGATTTCTTGGACATAACGTTGACCGATGATGAGGAGCATATTCGGGCCAAGCTAATGGCGGCTGCTTTGACAACCAGAACGAGCAATCCATCGAGCAGTGTTAATACCAGTCGCAAGTCTCGTCGTTCCATAGATTCCACAAGTAGTATCTTGAGCTACAAGCCCAGCGTCATCTTCTCCCGCCGATCGGAGGTGGAGGAGAAATCCCCACGTACCGATCGCGTATCTCTTCTGGCCGAGCGTGTTTTTCGAGCCTGTGCCAATCCCTATACTGAGCCATCCAATTGGCAACCTTCGGCAACACCAAAGTCCAACTGGCAGCCCATGGAGGAAAGTAAGTACTCCAAATTGACGGCCAGCATCCTGGACGACAGAGAGAACACACTGAACGGTGCCCTTCAGCTGCTGACCCAGGATTTCAACAGGAAGCTGCAACGCCAGCTTAAAGAAATAGCTCAGAGTTTTCATTGAATTATATTGCTGTGTATATATATTTTTTATTCGAATACAACTCGAAATTTGTTTCTCTGCACGCTAAAAGAAAAAAAAAAAGAAATAATTTTGATTTCTCGGATATTGAAGTATAATATTTCTCATAACGTTTTTAGGGTAAAGTTATGTTCATATATATTATCTAAAATATATAATTATTATTTAAATAATGATGAACTTCTTGCAAACGTTATTCAGTCTTTATTTTGCTGCTTTTTGCAGATAAAATACGTAATCTAATTTAAAAATAATAAATATTGATAAAAATATTTTTTTTTTCCAGTTGCAAACATTAAAATAATATCCGTAAAGTATTTAAATTTAAAATTTTGTTTATCTGCTTGTTGCTTGGCTTGGCACAAACCCTTCCGCTGAGGCGGACTGCAAACTACTTGAAACTTTCAGCGGTCTGGCAGGGTCGCCAGGCAGTCTGCTGGCTCGGTTCTGGCTCGGCTATGGTTGCTCCGGGTCCTCTGACGCGGTGCATAAATCAACTTTAGTGCTGGCCAAGTATCTTGCTGAAGGGCGAGGCACTCTGGAGCAGGTGCCCCCGCCCCCGAGGAGCATAATTAGCCCATGGCTACTGTTAGTCTAGTCGTGCACTTGGGCCCTTCGCCCCCTTTTGCCGCCCCTCGAGGCGCCCATTTATTTTCCTGACACATACTAAATATGCTGAGGTTGTTTACATGATCGATCAGGGATCGTGATCGGGTTCGGGATCGGGCTTATGCTGGCTAGCTGGATGCTCTGGATCGGGATTCGAGATCGGGATGCACCTAATTGCTAACCAAACAGACTGCAGCGCGCAAATATTGTTTTAAGGCACATCAACGTATTTCACCTGCCTAATGCCTGAGATCCAGCTCTCGATCGATTGAGCGGGTATATTTTTAGGGATTTGTTTCTGTGTGTGTTCGTTCCCCACTTTCCTTTATAATGAAGTGCGTTCCGATATGTTTATAATTTACGATACAGTGCCAGTACGGTGCAGGCTTTTCAGTTTCCACATTTTTCGATTGTTGGCGAGCCCTAATTTTGTTTGTTGCTGATGAAACGGGTACGAGATCTATGGTCACTTAAATGTAATTACTAAAAGTTTGGAAACAATGCGAGAGAAATGCCAACTAATAAATAAATTTCGAAATTTCAATTTCTTAAGAAAATAATTTGCCATTCTGAACTAATTTTCAGTCATATCACTAACCATTTCCATAGCATTCTAAACAATTTCCCACACGCACTGCCCACGATGACTGTTTCGTGGTCATCTCGTGAGCACACACGGCATAATTTAGACAATTCCCTTCATTTATTGTGAAAAATGCACTCAATTTATATGACTTGATTATATTTGCCTTCCTTTTTTCCACTCGCCGTCGAATGGCTGAATGGCTGTGTTTGCTCAAGTCGCCGCACAGATCCATGACATTGCCATGGCTAAAGACATGGCCAGGGACATGGCCTAAACAAGACTGCGACAACAAACACCAGACCAACAGAGGATTGGGCTGATGATGATCGAGAGGAGGGGATGAACGGCCCGAGGCGCACCCCACGCCAATTTATTAAAGCCAACACCAGGGAAATGTTGCCCGACTGGCCGAATGGCGCAGGTTCCCTCCTCCGAGTGGCCATCCTGGTTTAGGGGCCTCCTCCTATTCGGTATGAAAAATTGCACGAAACTGCAAAGGCGCATATGCAAAATGCATAATTCATTTAACATTTTGTAAATCATTTGTTTGAATAGCACGATGACGATGATCCGCAGCTAGCTCCCATGGCCTGCTCATCCAGCGGATCCCTGGTCCCCACAGCAACCTGCCACAGTCGAGCTCCGTTTTGGCCAGCAGTTAAGCTATTCGTCTGCCCTGACAAATCGAGAGTTGAGTCGGGCGAGTGGACCTGAATCGAGCCGGGACCTCGGACAGTCCCTGGCCCCAGTCCTCGGCACCAGTCCCGATCCTGCAGCAGCCACACAATGGCCATGACGATGCGCAAATATAATTTCACAACTGTCTGCACATGCTCCAAACGGAACGAGACACACCGCAAAGGTAAAAATGCACCAGAAGAAAACTGAAGGGTACATTTCATTAAAGTTTTTCGGATATTATTAAGTACTAATTTTTAAAAGGGCTTTTTCAAAGCCTTTTTAATTAAAGCTAACTCCATATTCCTCTTGAAAAACATTTAGACTGAATAAATAAAGACTGTACTTAATCAATTTTTAAGATTCCGAACTTAAACCTATTATTTCTTGCAGTGTCTCAGCGAGACGAAAGCAACAGTGTTCGAGGCATTGGAAAGAGCTCAGCCATAAGTCACAACGCCGCAACGACTTTTCAGCTCTTGGGATAAGCCTTTTTATTATTATTTGTATTTGCCTCATCTTTTGCCTTTTGATTCCTGTGAAATTTGCATTCGCTGGTATATACCGATACCAATTCCAGCCCGATCCCGATCCCGAATCCCGACCCAATCCCAGCCTTCAACCCTGATCCTCCAACGAGCTAATTTCGTTTTGTGTGCGAATATTGAAAAATTACAAAACCTTTGATGCGAATGGGGCCGGGGGAGGAAAGGTGGATTGGCATGAGGGTGTTATGGGGTCCAGCTGGACCCTGGCATTGAGATTTCTTGGGAACCCAGTTTCTGGCCGGTACTGTCTGTAATTTTAATGATCCTCCACTGACATCGTAACTCAATAAGCCTCGCCAAGTCGCGATCGCTGCAGACAGACAGTCTGGGATCAGGCTGGCTTTCCCAGCCGAATAATAATTTATCATCTTTTGGTTGCACTTTGAAAAGTAATTAAGGTTTCTCCCAACTCGCGTGTGTGGTCGGCGGCTGGGGGATGCGGCTTGGGGTGTGTTCCCAGCGAAATCTATTGTAACTCGATGGTGGCGTTAAATTTTTGATTAAAAAACTATTAGCCAAGTGTTAAAATTATCGTTAATGTGTGATGTTTTGGTGCCAGTGCGTCTGCTGTTCCAACACTATTATTTGTAAGGTATTGTATTTTTTGTTTTACAAATGAATCGTTAAGTTGCGTTGTTTTTTGTGCTAGATTATTAAAGTCTTTTGTGTTCTTAAGGCGCGGCGATCAAAGTGATGAAGTTAATGGAATTTCGAACCTGAATTAATGGTTTACAAGAGCGAATTTCACAAAGGGTAAAAGTACTTATAAGGTATTAAAATTGAAGAAATTTATTGATAACCTAAAGATAGTGCTCTTATAAACACAATATATATAAAAGAAATCTTTAATTTAAAATTGAGTAACTCTTGGTAAATATAATCCTGAAAAACTCCTATCAAATTCACAGTAGTAAAGCAATCAAAACTATTTTAATTGCTCCTTGTACACTCTCCCAATCCTACTCCAATTACCCACCGCAGCAGTTACTTATCCAGACAACTATAAAAATAATTCAATTAAAAAATGACAACCACAAAAATTAGTTAACCACAAAAACCGCCAAACAATGCCAATAAAAAAAGCGATTATAAAACAAAAACAAACTAAAAGTGTACATAAATCAGCATAGAAACCATAACTAGTATAAATTAATTTGTGTAATTTAAATGTCAGGCCATATTTAACGTTCGCATAAAAACCCCAAAATTAGACTTTTTCCAACGAGCAGCATTGGGAATTGTGAGCGGCATGTGTACGTTCGTTGGTTCAATTTAAACGTCCGGGTGCCCTGTCACTCGTTGGGTCTCTGCCTGCCTATTTTCCCAGCCCCGCCCCCTTTCCGCCCGCTCCACCACCTTCGCCATGAGTCGCGCCAGTCGACGGCAGTTTCCGTCGTCAATTTATAAACGCGTTCAGCTTAAATTGCAACAAATAGTCGCTTATTGAAACTTAAATTGTGCCGACGCAGACGCCCGGCTGTGGCCAGAATGGGACGGGGCGACAGAGCAATGGTTTTTGGTTTTATGTCAACAAGTTTTTCTCTCTCGCTTTTGGCCATTTTTTGTTGCTGTTTTTTTTTTCTAAACATTTTGTGGTTGTTGTTTTTGTTTTGTGTCAGTTGTTGACGTTGTTGGGTTGCTGTGTGGTCGTGGCTTGATTTGCTTAAAGGTTTCTGGTTCTGGGCTCCGGTCATGGGAAAGAGGTTTGCCGATGTTTCGATGTGTTTTTTAGATAAGGTACTGGGAGGGGAAACAAGGGTTTATTAATTTAAAATTAAATGGTTAAATTACTTGTTAAATTAAAAAAAGTTATTAATTTTAATATAAATATATTCTTGGGTCTGTCAACCTGATGTGAGTTTGAGCATAATCATAAAAAAAACACTTCTTAATCGATCGAAAAAAAACCATTTCTGGTTTATATAAATATAAAAGTAATATTCCAAATCTAAAAATAATATTCTAAATATAAAACAATGTTTATAATCTAATCTAATCTAATCTAATCTAATCTAATCTAATCTAATCTAATCTCATCTATTAAACAAGAAAGGAAGCTAACTTCGGCACGCCGAAGTTTGTATACCCTTGCAGATTGGTTTTGATGTTTATTTTATAGATTTAAATGCTGAAAACACTCACGAAACAGAGTTTCATTACATTTTACCTATACTTATTATGTTTACAGTTTGACAGTTACAGTTTTACATTCCCAGCTTTATATATTTTATACATTTACCGATCGCTTCTATGGCAGCTATAAGATATAGTTGTCCGATTTTTATGAAATTTATACCAAAATTCTAGAATAATAAAAAAAACTTATATCTCAGAGTAAATAAAAATGCGTTGAAAAACAACGAAGCTATAATTTTATTTCTATTAATTTCCCGATCTTTCCTATGGCAGCTATATCATATAGTCGTCCGATTTTCATAAAATTTTTACTAAAATTCTGGAATAATATAAAATGGCTATATCTCAAAAATGATGCAAAAATATTGAAAAACAGCAAAGTTATAATTTTTTTTCTAAAAATTTATCGAACATTTGTATGGGAGCTATATGATATAGTCGTCCGATCCGGCCCGTTCCGACATATATAGCAGTGAGAGCATATAGAAGACTATATGCAAAGTTTCATTCAGATAGCTTTAAAACTGAGGGACTAGTTTGCGTAGAAACAGACAGACGGACAGACGGACAGACAGACAGACGGACAGACAGACAGACGGACAGACAGACAGACAGACGGACAGACGGACATGGCTGGATCGACTCGGCTGTTGATGCTGATCAAGAATATATATACTTTATAGGGTCGGAAACGTCTCCTTCACTGCGTTGCAAACTTCTGACTGAAATTATAATACCCTGCAAGGGTATAAAAATATATAAAATTTTACAGCTATATACCCCAACCTGTTTTCCTGTATACCAACCTCTCAGTGCTCATTGTCACTATTTGGACAGCAATCAATAGTAATTTTTAAAAGTTATTATTTATTTGCAGGCAGTGTAGATGCCAAACAAAACGTGACGAAGTCTTTTGCGATTGGAAAGACTCGTCTTTTATGAGCAGGTACTTTGGCTGTTTTCGATGTGCTTCTAGGGACTCTCTGGGATGGACTTTGGGTACCTCTGTTTCAAAGGCTATAGTTCCTAAATCTTAGTGTAACCATTTAATAAATCAACAAATATTATGAGAACCTCTAAAACTTTATTAAGATATATTTCCTATCTAAATATATTAGAAATTATTTTTTCTATATACTTTTTATTATAATTTACTCCATAAAATGTTGCCAAAAGTAACTCTACCCCTAAGAAATGTAATCAATTTTTAACCCATTTCGGGATGTAATTTCTGGCAACGGCAATTAACCCTGCCTGCCACTAATTCAGCCATTTCTTCCAATCAAAAAAACGTATATGGGAGCCCGCTTGTTCTGGCCGTTAAACCAGCCGAAATCAAAGCAAGGCAAACTCGTTTTATGGCCAACGCCAGGTACAACATTTAATTGCACGCCACAACAGTTTTCTGGCTGATTTCTTCCTTTAATTTCAATTCCACACACAGGTAACTCCAAGAGGTGTTTCTCCGCTTCAAGGGGGGAGTTGGGGGGCTAGAAGGCTGCAACAGGCAAAGCAAATTTTGTCGACAGCCGGCCGCCGCAATATAATTTCTTTCGATTAATCCAATCGATTTCTATTCAATAAATCAAAATATGAATTCGTTGCGGCTGCGACCCCTCGCCCAGCCTAGACACCAGCCATGGGTGTGTGTGTGTTGTGTGTGTGTGCCTCCGTGTTCGTTTGAGGCACGTAACAAATTGTTGGGTTAATTAAAAAAACATAAATCGTTTTGATTCTTTTTCCACACTCTCTGCTGCCCGCCCCTCGGGTGCTAAATAACCGTGGCAGGTCTTCGACGGCCCTTTCATCAACTGAAATCAGCCGAAATTCCATGGCAAAGAAATTTGTGAAATAAATCACACACTTTTCGCTAGAAAATAATTTCACTTTGGACACTTTTTCCCACTGCTTTTTGGACTTATAATTTATTTTGTCAGCCCTCCTCTGTTGTGATAATGTTAATGAACATCGCTTAGGCGCGTAAATTGTTGGCCATTAAGGCGTTTTGATGACTTTTAGCCCCTGGAAACTTGATATTGGCAGCGCAGCGCATAAAAATGTTGTTTTTGCCAGCATCCGTTGAACCAATCAAAACAAATTAACGAAAATTTTCGATAAATATTCATGACGGAATTCCGTCAAATAAAACGGTTAGCCAAATCCAAGCGGACACGGCTGCAGGGTCCGTACGAATTCGATTAATTATCAGTTCAGAAAATTTGCAAATTTCATTTGCATTTCCAATTTAATCGGAACAAGCGGAATGGACTCTTAAGAGCGTGTGGGAACCATATCGATTGTGATGGAAATAAGTCCAAGGTTTTGTCAAATGCAATCAAAATCGGAGACGGAATTGAATTGAGCTCAAATAGAAAAATTTAATGTAGGATTTAATTAAATTCGCATTGAAATTATATTCAAAATATATAATATTAAATAATTTTATATTTTAAATATTATATTTTTACCCGACGGATATTTCCAGGTTGTTTTTAAGTAAAATCTTCTAAAGGTTTCCATGTTTTTAAGACAGTGTTTCTCTGCCCGACCTCTCCCCACACCGATAGTGTAAACGTTGCTGTGTCCTTGTCAAGGACACAATTTCTCTCCTTCAGAATAAAACTCAAATATTAATAAAATATTGCAAACTCCTCTGAACATTCCCTTTAAAAATAATAAATACTTGTTTATAGTTTTTTTTTCAGTTTATTTTCCTTGCTGGTTTTTTGTTGCGTTTTCTGGTTGTTGGTTTTATTTTTTTTTATTTTTGTGATAACATTAAATTTACTCTGCATACTTAAGCTTGAAGAAATCTAAGGCCGAAAATGTATGTACGTATATGCGATGTAGCTTCCAATCCCTTCGATGTTCAATTCTTTTTTTACAGTGTATTATTAGTTAGCAAGTTTTGTACTAGAAAGCTTCTGGGATGGGGAGCGGGGATGATGAGGGGGGTGAAAGCAGCTTGGACAAAAAATTAGCTAAACCTTACAAGTTAAATAGTCAATACGCTTAAGTAATTTCTTGTTTAATTTAACGTTACGAGTACGATTTATACATGTATGCGATAATTAACTCATATTTTATACATTTACAGTAGGTTTACTTTTCGATCCGTTTTATTTATAGTTTGTTTTTGTTTTGCAACTAGAAAACTACGTTTAAGTTTACATAACATTTAAATAGCAAAAAATTAGGCAATTTCTTGTTCATATATCTTATTTTTGTGTGTGTTTTTTTGTGTATTTTTTGTATATTAATATTTAAAATACATAATAATAATATTCAAAGACGATTCAAAATGTGAGTTATCGATTTTGTTTTGTTTCTTCAACAGCAATTTTTCAATTATCAGGTAAAAAGTTTAAAGTATTTTCCTCAACTTTCAGAAATATTTGGTTTTCACATTGCGCCACCAGGGCCAAGTTCTGCAGCCGCTGGCAGCAGATCCAGTCCAGCGACGAGGACGACTCCTCCTGCGTCTGACCCACCGCCGAGGGCGTGGCGGTGCCCAACGGCTGGGAGCTTGGCGGCAGTGGCGGTGGCGGCGGCGGCATTGGCGGCTCCTCGGGCCACCAGTTCTCCCACTCTCAATACGCTGTCGCCGCCCCGGGATGCATCAGATGGTGGTGGTGGTGATGGTGCCCAAAGTGGTTCAGCGGGTTCATGGCGTCCGCCGTGCCACTCGGCGCCGCGGTGTGATACCAGTCGCTGGGCGGGTGATGCTGCGCCGCCGGGTGGTACAACAGGTGATGGTTGTGGTGCAGCATCGAGGCAGAGGCGGCCGCTGCCCCGGGAGATGCTGCCGCAGCCGCTGCCGCTGCCTGGTGATGATGATGATGGTGGTGGTGATGCGACGGCGGTGGACCCAATGGGGGCGGCAGGTACGCGGAGGCGGAGGCAGCCATTAGTTGCAGGGCGGGCGAGGATTTGGAGTCGCTGGGATGGGCGGACAGTTGCTGTTGTTGCTGCTGCTGTTGCTGTTGCTGCTGCTGGTGTTGCTGCTGCTGTTGCTGTTGCTGCTGCTGCTGCAACAAGTGCGAGGCACTGCTGCTGGCCGTGCTGCTGCTGCCGCTGCTGGAGGCCCCCAGATGGACGCTGTGCATCGGATTTGGTTCCGATTTGATGGAGTGCGGCGAGGACTTGATGCCGCTGCCGCCGCTGAGGCTGCTCACGCCGCTGCTGCTGCCGGCACTGCCGTCCAGGCGGGTGGAGGGTGGCGTCTGTGCCCCGCCGGTGATGACGCTCGAGCTGGAGCTCTCCTCGCCCTCGCTGTCATAGCCATGGGATGGACTCTTCTCGTCAATGTTGCCATGCACCTGGGGGGGAAGGAAGAGATACAAACATGAGTTAAGAATAATTTTGAAGTAAAAGGCTATCCTAACGATGGTTAATCTAGATTTGTATGGTATTTTTAAGGTAATAGAATTCAACTCACCTTCATGTGCTTACGCAGCGAGGAGGGATGCGTGTAGGACTTATCACAGCCGTTGATGCGACAATTGTAGGGCTTGTCCGAGGTGTGGACATGGGAGTGCTTCTTCCGGTCCGAGGAGTTGGCGAATCTCCGATCGCAGCCCTCGTGCTCGCACTTGAACGGTTTCTCGCCTGAAAGTAGCCAAAAAGAAAAGATATTTCCATCAGTTTCGAGTCGAAAAGGAAAGCAATAAATAGCATTATTTATGTGACACGCATTAAATAAATAATAGCAGCAGCGAGAGCAACAACGAATGAAACGATGACCATTTATGGGCTCACAATTTTTATGAACACACAATTTAATAAAGGTGGGAAAAACCGTGTGTCCAACATATTTATAGGGAAAAAACAATAACAAAACAACAAGATACTATACTATACTGGAGAGAGAAATCATATAAATTATGCGGGATCAAGAGGCCCATTGTTCGAGAGATCCCGAACCCTGCGACCCGAATACGATTTTCACCTGTGCCGATGTCTCGATGGTCCTTTTTGTTATTTGTCTCCCCCGACTGTCTGTCCATGGGTTTCTTAGGATGCACAAGAACAATAGCGGCAAGGGTAAAGGGAAAAGGTCACAGGGCTAACGTTTATTATTTGATTCGTGTGCGTAACACCTTTTTCTATCAAAAGGTTGGAACAAAACTTGGCCCGAAGTGATATTTTATAGCTTATTAGTAAATTATTTTTTGTCGGAAAATCTAGACCCCGATGCAAAGAGATAAAATCAAGATTGCCATAAATAATATGGAGTCAAAGGTTAACCCGTAATTTGGCAAATATTTCAGGGAAATTTACGACCTAGAATCGTGGGTAAAAAATGTAAATCAATAACTGAATTATTTTTGTTATATTTTCCCCATCAATTTCAATCAATTGCCATATTACCATGCCGCTTAAAAATGCCATAAACAAACTCAATAAAATGTGTATAGAAGTATCTCAGGCTAAGTCCATTTAGCATATGGCATTTATGTCGCAGATAAGCGGCCATTACATCCACCACGGGCTTTATGACAATTGCAACTAAGCGGCTCAGAGTCCCCAGTCCCAGCCTCCAAGCCAGAGAAACCCTCACAAGCCCCACGTTGACGATGACAATAATCGAACATTTTCACACCTCGAGCTTAAAGCGGACAATCGCCTCGGGGACGGGGGTGTGTGTGCTCTGTTGTGGGTTAAAGAAAAGCTGCACAGCTGGGTTGCAGGTGGGGTTCGGGTGGGGTAGGGCCCCGTATCTCTTAAGAAGACATCCAGCGCCGACTTGGAGCTGGCCAGCTCAACAAGTTTCGGCTCATTCCCTTTTGCCTTCGCATTTCGCTTTATGTAATTTAATACTAATTTATGTGCTTTATTATCCACATTTGAATAAAGTTTTTATTTTGTGATGCGTAATAAGTCAGGGGGGCCAAGATAAAGAAACCGAAATCGGACATATTTGAATGGCGTGTCGCATTGTGATTGTTGCTGTATTTTCTATTAATTTGTCAAAATTTAAAACTCATAAATAAGCATTACAAAGGTCCCATCGGTGTGCGACGGGAACTCAATTATTTTGACAGGTTCCGAGAGTCTCAGAGCCCAGAACAAGCGAATCGAATGCAGTTCGATGCGCTACAAATTCCCCAAACTTGATTTCTTTTCATATTTTTATTATTTTTGGGGGACGATGTCAAGTGTCGGCTTGGCTTTTGTGGACTTTTTTGGTCTGAGTTCAATTAAAAAGTGGCGCCAAAAGAATTGTAAGGGAATAGTAATCCTTAAAAACCCTTTAAACTCTCTATTTCTTTCTGCTAAAACTTTCCACTTTAAAATTAAAACCCCACAACTATCAGCTGGGTTATCTTTAAGCACTAATTAGTCATAAGTAGGACAGGCAGCTGACTTTGTTTTGGCCACCCGCTGGGCTCCTGGCTCGAAGCGGAGCCTTATCAGTCTTATCACCTCCCTCTGCTTCTTTTCGGGGAACCCAGCAGCACACCGATCCCTAGCCGTGGCCGATACGCATATATCCACACACATATCCATCTCCTGTAGCGCTGCGGTCTAAGCCCAGCGGGGGAGATGCCAGAACGCCAGAATGCCAGAACGAGGCGGCACGCGCTGCGGCCGAGGACATTAAAGGGTTCGTGTCCCGGCTAAGCGCAGCAAAAGGATACGCATAATTTTCACATTCCACACCGTTCTGGCGGCGGGCATTAAAATTGGAATTTAAATATATTTTATTGCTTTAAGTTTCGACGGGGTCCGGTTTTTGGGTCCAGGGGAAAATGCCACCGAAATATCGTCGCCCATTTATAAAATGTCAATTTCAGTCGACGTTTCTCGACTTCCCCTTCCGACGCAACGACATGAAAGACATCCTTGGCACACCCTTTTCGGGGGCTGGAACTGGCAAGGCGCCATAAGTACAGTGGGTTCTCCGCCCTGGCAAATCCCATTTAGGCTGTGCGGAATCGACAAACTTATTTAAATATTTCAATAAAGTAAATCCAATGGCAAAGTCGCCGGGTATATAATACAGGCAGGCGTAGCTGTGAAATAGGCCGGCTTCCTTGTGATTTGCATATTTAGCGGGAGCTTCTATGCCGCCTTACTTTTTGCCGGAAAGCCCCAAAATGGTTAATTTCCTACAAAAAAAAAAATAAATATATAAAAAAAGAAAGAAGTTGCTTCTCGCGGTTGGAACGATTGGAATCGGCACAGACTGCCTGTCATGGCGTTTTGTGTACAGCTGCAAAGTTGTTTGTTTTTTTGGGGTGGTTCTTATATTTTTGGGGTTGCTTTGTAATCTCCCCTGTCTGTGTGTGTGTGCGTGGGTTCAGCCAAGAAAGTTGTACATGACCATATACATATATATGTACATATTTATATATAAAATATATGTATGGCTTTGTTTGTTGGTATATATGGCACATGTTTTGGCTTTTATGTAACTGCTGCAAAGCTTGCTGTCATTTGCAGACGAGTGCCGAGCCGACGGCCTTTCCTCCCCCCTTATTTTCCACCGCCCCACACCCGCGTTGCTCTTCCGTCTGAAATTGTTTTTGTTGTGGCTATTATGGGGCGTTGTTCCTTTTTCGTCCGGAGACTGGGGGCCTGAAAGACTTTCTGATGTTTCTGGGCGTAGTCGGGCAGGGTGAAAAAAAAAAAACAGAATTGAGTTTTACTAAACGTCTCGCAAGTGTTTTCTTTGGGGCTGGCAAATATGCTTGCGTATTATTAAAATATGTATATTTGCTTGATAAAGACAGCAATATGCTTTCTGTTTTGGGGTCAGGGGTTGGCATGTGGGGATTTTTTAGAGGGAGAAGATATTGAAGGAAAGGCTGGGAAGTTTGGCAAATAAAACAGGGAATTTTAAGGAATATTACAAATAAAATTATCACAAAAATAAAATGGAAACAGCTCGTTGTTGAACCCATTTTATAATAATTAAGGAATGATATTTTAATAAAAATGAAGTTAAACGTGATCATTTTTTTTATTATTTATTTTCTTTTGTAGCTATTAAAAATAAAAATTATAGACTTGCGCTTTTAAAACTTTACTGAAGTTTATTACAAGCTCCTCTTAAGTCTCCTCACTTTTAAAATATCTCGTAAATGTTGCCCCTTCAAGCTTAGCAATTTATCAACTACAAAGAAACCCTTTATTTTTATTTATCGAATCTCCAGGGTTATATGTACTAAAGTCCAGAAATACCCGGACCTGTCATGAGGCACAGCACCAGGAGAGCTAACCGCGCCCCCCACTCCCTATACTATATATAGAGTATCCTGTCTCTGGACGTGATCGCTGCTAACCGAGCGATGCAAATTAAGCATCATTGACAGTCGCTGATTAATTGAAGTGAATCAGGTTTTTAATTTTCAGCAACAAACAGCAGATGGAATAAAAAAAATGCAACACAAATAAAACATTTTTTTGTGCTGCCGTCAGAGTGACAGTTGCTTATTAAAAGCATTTCGAAATGGAATTAATTAAAAATTAAAAAAAAAGAATCGCCACAAAAAACGTTCTTATTTAACAGCAAGCTAACAGAGCTCTGTTAGCACGCCTGACTGCCTTAATTGCTGCTAAATAATTGCCCTGGTAAATATTTATTGCCTGCTTAAGGACTCGCCCTCGAAAGGAAACAAAGGACGGAAGGACCCTCTCTTTTTTACTTGAGCTCGGGGGGGAAGGAAGCGGGATGATGAGGATGGCAAGGGATGAGCAGCGGCATCATCGCTCATGTGTCAACAGCATGCAATGCGATATGATTATTATTATCTAACAATACAATAACAAAACTGCTACTTTTTGCCTGCCCGCCTGCCCGTCCCTATCGTGCTGCTCCTCTCTCACTGCTATTGCCATCCCACTTGCTCTGCCAATAAGTCCGGGTTGTTGACACTCTCCGGATTTGAGAATCCTGAGCTCATTGTGTATCTGTATCTGTTTGTTTGTTTGTTTGTCTGCTATACATTTTTTCCGCTGCTGTCGCTTCTTTTTCCCTCTGTTCTACGGCCTTTGTTCCTACGGTTAAAGCCGGAAAAAGCCAAACCCCGATTTCCTGGCGGTTTACATTTCAATGGGCAATTTTCCCTCGCTCCCACTTTTCTATTTTCCATTGCGAATAGCTCACTTTTTGTTAGGGATATTTAAGGGGGCAGTGACTGTTGATGATGGGAATATTGTTAGGATCTTAAGGATGAGAGCTGGAGGTAGAGATGTCCTGGCCAAGCAGGTGCTGTTTCAGTATGGCTCGTGGTTTCATTAATTACAATGTATCTTATCAATTTCAAGTTAAATATTGTTAGTAAATAAATCGTTTAATGAGAAACTTCCCTCTCGCCCTTCCAATTTCCCTTTCAATTATCCTGCACAGATTTTCCCACACACGCCGCTTACTTTGAATATTTATAACAGTTGCCTGCAAATGATGACCAAATTAATGGCCAACAATTCCGCTCCATTCCATAATAATAATAAAATCATAATTTAAGTCCAATGAATGCCGCTTGTCAACGGCCAAATGCAAAATCCTCTGGCTCATCATCCGGGGCGATGAGATTATTATCATCATCATCATTATCATCATCATGGGGAGGATGCTGCACCCCTCGGCAAGGGAAGTTACC